AAGCACTCATAATTATGAGTTTATCTTCCCTCACCCAACCCTCTCATGTTCAGAGGTGAGGGCTTTGTATCTCCTATACCAAAGCTCTATCCTCCGGAGGCTGCTTCCATCACTGGGTAGACACATTGCCCAAAACAATGGCCTAAAACCAGCAAAGCTAGGCTGTGAGACCAAGAAGCGGGTTGTTTGGTTCTCACTTTGGGGTAAGGGGAGTGCTAAAAAGTGTAAATGAGATAAACAGGAACTTGAAGGCCCAGGTTCATTCAAATAGGCAATGTCCAGGGGTCCACTGGAGACTGGATTACATTTGTCTTCTAGGAGTTGTCTCCTTCACCTGTATATAATTCACAGGAACCTGGAGATTTAGATTAAAGTTATCCCCCCATCTACTGAAACCAGGAGTCTTCTATTAGAAAAACATTTCAGTGAGGGAAAAAAAAAATCTTGTCTTCTAGCCAGTTTTCTGAAACAGCTGCCATTATTGGAAAAAAGGAAAGACTTGCCCTGAGAGCTGAGGGCCCCGGGCCTTCTCTTGTCTCCTACAATACAAAGCATGGTGTCTGCTCCTTAATTGTTGAGTCAGGTGGGGTCTGGAAAATCCAGGATCCCTCCTAATGCTAGCTCCTCCCCTAGCAACACCTGAGTTCCAAGAGTTAGTCGGAGGGCAGGACGTTGGGGTAGCTCTGAAAGACTTTCTATAAGACCCAAACAAGCAGCCAGTGCCCCCAGAAAGGAAAGGCATGGATGGGGTGACTTCTGCAGCTCAGACAGAGCTTCTAGCTTCCTTCATCAGATCTCTTGACTCTGCCGTCAGAATCTAAAGTGATTCCAGCCTTTCACTTGGTAGTATATAGAGTATATAGGTCTGCCTTCAAGGGGGAGGATTCTCTGGGTTTGGGAAATCATGTGAACCTGTAGAATGGGCCTTGCCTCTCTGTAGATTCGGCACAAAATTCCATTTTGTTTGGGACCAAAAAAAAGAAAAAAAGAAAAAAAAAAGGCAGAGCTGATCCTGGTTGTAGAGGAACCTAAAATCTGTGTGCTCCCAGTCTTCTTTAAAAGCAAGGGAGAGATGGATGAGGGACAGGTGATTGACAAGTGGAAGACAACAACATGGACCAAGGTCTTTTCTATTTGCCCTTAAACTCGGGATAGTAACAGTATTTTTAAAACAATTGACAGTAGCACAGAGTCGTGGGGGCGGAAAGAAGACTGGATCTCCACGCCAGCTGAGCTCTATGCCAGGCGGTTGGCGGGGAGCGCCTCTGGTCCCCACTAGCTCGGGATGCGCTGGTTTCCTGCTCCTTGCTGGTTCACTGGTTCAGGTGCCACAGCCCCCGCGCTCTCCCGCTGCGGCAGCGGCCCCCAACCCCTCCCCTAGGCTTTGCTCGGCTCTAGATTCAGCAAGCTCCTTTTCTGGCGGGACGGTTGCGGGGAGGTGCAGTGGGCAGTGGCGGCTCCCGCTGCGCAGCTGGGGACCAGAGGGGCCTCGGCAAGTGCAGGGGGGCGGCGAGAGGCTCTGGCTTCTGTAAACTCTGCTGGTGGGGGGCCGAGCAAGGCTGTCTACGAGGAGGAGGCAGAGGTTGAGGAGGCCGGGGAGGGTGACGACGGTGTTAAATGTGGCCGCGCAGCTCCCCGGGGAGCGGCCTGAAAGCGAGTGCGCTCACCAGCTGACAGCGCGTGCTCCGCTCCAGACGCTCCGCACCGGGGCCAGGAGTCTCTGCCAGCCCTTCTATTGTCAGCCGCTCTCTAATTAAGAAACACTCACGTTACGGCAAACTACCCCCACGCTTCTTGGTTCCTGTCCTTTCCTTTATCTACCCATGACTTCTCTCCTCCCCTGCCTCTCCGCTGCGTCCTAGGATTTAACCCATTCTCCGCTGTCTTCGCCTTTTCCAGTTAGGAGTCTAGCCGCGAAGGGATGACTCCCTGTCTAGGAAGCCGCTAGGCCTCCTGGTCAGACTTGATGATGAAAAGTACTCAAGGCTTTATTTTAGTTTGTCTCTGCCCCGCGTCCTACCCCTTCTCCAGAAAGGAACTGCAAACATTTCAGCTACCACCTGTCCTTGCCCGCGGTCTTCACCTCTCACCAGCAAGCGCTGATTTTCCTAGCCGGCAACTGACAAGTCTAGATTGTAGCGGGCAAGCGGCTCTAATCCTTTCCTTTCTCACTGGAGCTTGCAGCAGATCAGATGAAGCAGATCATCATTTTCTCGAACTTCCAAGTTAGCAGAGGATTTATTTTACAAGACACACTTTCGCAAAATTTTAACTTTTGGGCTCCGATTTAAATTTCTACAATCAATAATAGAAAGACCTCATGAAAGCCCTGGTCTCCCGCTGGTTCCGAATAAGGAAGTTACTCCCCCTCCCTTTCTGGTAGTTCTGCCATTAGCAATGTCCCATGAAGAACGTGTTAAACTTGCCAGTTGCCAAAAAGCAATCTTCCTTCAGCTCTCCGTGAAATCAAATAAGTTTCCAAAAGTGTGGTGAGCCAAAACCCTCTACAAGTAAAAATGTTGGTTGGCTGAGGGCAAAAATAGAATATAAAGCAAGCTGCTTAAAGTATAGAAAACTTTGGAAAACACCAGCAGTGTCCCAAAGAACTAACCCGATTTATCTATCTTCATTACTTTAAGAAGCGCTGACTCTTTGTTTGTTTGGGTGATATTAAGCATGCCTAACTTGCGTACATAGTTGATGCCTTTGCTAGTATCTTAGATACTTGGATCTGACTTTGGAAGGTAGAAGCTAATTGCTAATAATGGAGAGAAAGGAACCAGTCAGCATGGCAGGAGTGGTCTGGCATATGGGGAATGAGCGCTCAGAAATACTCAATATTCAAGTTTCCAAAATATTAATGAGATTATAGCAACCTGCAGCTATATGTTACAGCTTGTTAATGGAGTGTAAGAGAGGGAGCTGCCAAACGTTTGTTATGCAAACTTCATTGCTGAACCTTGGAGTGGACCTCTTAAAAAAAATGCCAACAAAAGAGAGAGAGAGAGAGAGAGAGAGAGAGAGAGAGAGAGAGAGAGATAAGAAAGAAAGAAAGAAAGAAAGAAAGAAAGAAAGAAAGAAAGAGGGAAAAAGAGGTTAAAGTTCTCATTTGAACTCTGAGTACTCAATTTGCCACAAAATAGCCTGACTTTGTTCTCATCTGGATGAGATAGAGAAAGTTTTCATTGAACACAGTATAGAATTGAAGTTTGACATTCTGGCATGGTTGTTTCCCTTTTGAGAAGAATCAAACAGGACTTCCTTACTGGAAGAGTCGAGGTTGAAGTCTGCTCACTGTGGCAGCAGTAGCCCATCTGGCCCTTTAAACAGACTTAACTCCCGACCATTTATTGTGTTGAAGAAGAAATTTGCGGGATCCCTGGTCCGTGAGCATAGAGGCATAAGCTGTGGATATTGGTATTGTCTGACTGTGATTAGCTCAAGCTTTACTATCTATAAAAAGCTCTGGGCAGGAAGATGCTCGCTGTGTCATTTCTATTTTCTCAGAGTCAATGAAAATAATGTTGATGAGATCTTTTTCCTTGTGGCTTGGCACAAATTGTGCATGGGTAGTTTTGAGAATTGGTTGTTCTTTGGGAGAAGTAGTTTCTTCCCCTCTCTCATATTTCTAGTATGTAAGAGAGTATTAACCACCATGCCCATGCCAGTGCATACACACACCTAGGAAAGACCAAATCAAGTCAAGTAACCATGAAAACATGTAAGAGTTGGTGCTCTTATCCTGCAGCATGTTTATCTGTTTTTATCTAGCTTGCTTATTAAGAGACAAATGGAAATGTGTCAAAAGGCAATAGCTTGTTTTTGTTTTTGTTTTTCCAGCAGTACAATGATTCCTGATACTTATCTTAGTAGGTGCAAAAGGTTATCTAAGGTCAGGTGCATTATTCCTGTCTCTGGACAGTGTCACTAGCCACCATCCACTATGCCCAGTGAGCTGACTTGCAGAACTTCCCAACTTCCCTGGATAGGCTTCCGCTGGAAGTCACCACACCCTGAACAGAAGAGGACCTGCACTTCCTGGGGTCGTGCTTTTCCTACAGCTGCAGGCTAGGGAGCTTTCCCTGTGCCAAGGTGACCCAAGTACTGCACAAGAGCCAGCAAACTAACTTCCCTTTCTGGTGGGGTCCCCTCAATTTGTCCTGCCAACGAAGACAAAGAATTCGCTTGAAACTCACCTCTCAAATCCAGAGATATTTATCTGACACACTATCCTGAAAGCTTTAGTTTAAATTAGCCAATCAAATGCATTGTAAAAGTTCTGTTTTCTACCCTCTATCCACTCCACATTCACTTTCCTGAGATCTCTGATCATGAGAGCCCAGAATAGACTCTACCCCATATGGGAACACGGGTTGAGTGTAATGGTGCACTTCAGTTTCTGTAGCTGACTTTAGAATGTACTTGACTGGTTTATTCTGGGGGGAAAATGAAGGCAAATGACAGTTCTGTATCAGAAGACCTGAGTTTGGAAAGAAAACTTGACTGGCAGTCAGCAATGCTAAAGCAACTGCCACACTTCTAGCTTCTAATTGTCAAACCAATGATTGCCAGCCTATCTTTCCACTTGAGGTCTTTGCCGCTGTCCTTTTTTCTTCTCGTGGGTGTGCTCCCCCCACCCCCCAGAACTTAGGTTGTGCTGTGTACCTGAAAAGATTTCAGCTAATTTGCGAGAATACATAGGTTATCTCAATGATACTAACCAGCACAGAGCAGAGTCCTGGAGACCGAAGTCACCAGCTTGTCCCAGAGATTGCTTACTAGAGGCTTAGGACTGAAAGATTCTTGCCATACCAGAGGCAAACTACGCTGCAAAGCGGGGCACATTTGATCTCACGATTTATTGGTGTATCCAATACCACCTGAAGGGACTGGATTTGCAATATTCTTTCATAACTGCAAATCTCATTTCTTCAAAGTCACTTACAAATTATCTTTAACGTTTTGCTGGAATAGACTGTGACAACTAAAGGTATTTTTCAAGTTTATTTTCTCATTTGTAAAAGCGCATACATAAAGCAATGGCAACTGGATTCGCTAAATCAAAATAAAATGATCTTGAATAGAAAATGTAAAAAAAAAACAACAAACAAAAAACAAGTAGAAATAGGTTCCAATACTCAATAATAAATAAGTTTTCTAACGTTAACAAAGCAACATAAATTGACCAAATGCCTTTGACACTACATAGTTTTTGTTTTAATTTTCATTTGTAGAAACAAACATTTGCAAAGAGTTTAAGGATTTATGAGTGGCTGTACTTTAAAAAATAAAAGTTAGTCTGCAATTGGCAGTTGAGTTTCTTCGCACCGGAGCAGCAGCTAGTGATGAACTGCGTTTGTTCTGCGTCCCCTAGACACACTTGGAGTTTATGCGCTACAGAAACCCTTGTCTGGTCCTGTGTTCTTACAACTCAGTAGTCCATGTTCAGTAAAGCACCGAAAACCGGTGGTCTCAAAGCCTTTGGAAAACAACTTCGAAGACTAGACTAACTCCCTTACTTGTAAGTGAGCGCAACACAACGGGATAAACGCCCGGGGTATAAAATAATTGAAACCCAGACCAGAGACAGAGATATGACATTTTAGCAGCGTATTGGCAGCATGGACGATAAAACACGTAAAGGTACATGTAGTGGTATTGTATCTACATACAGAGGAAGCAGAAGGTAGGAAGGAAGGGGTTTGGAAGAGTCTCAACCATCTGAAGTCACGCAGCCTTCTGAAGTCATGTCGTTGCTAACAACGACCACCGCAGAGCAAAAATAAAAGGTTGCAGGGATCTTTGCCGCGGCGCTTCCCGCGCACTGGGGAGGGCATTTGGTTGTCTCAATATTCCCGGTGCGTTCGCCTCCCTAACTGGCCTCATCAGAATCACTGTAATGAGAGTGGGGGGAAAACTCTCCGTCACTTCTGTGGGACCTGGGAGAAGTTTTGCTACTGTCCTCCTGTACTGGCTGCAGGATGCTCCCGGACAGGGAAGGCGACAGGTCCTTCTGTGCCATCATCGCTGTTAGGGCCCGGTCCTCGAAAGATGGGAAGTGTAAAGCGTCCAGCTGCACCGAGTAACCCCCGGCTGAAGCTGGGGCTGAGAAGCGAGTCCGGCAAGCTCCGGGTGGGGTGGGTCGTGGGCCCCCTCCCGAGGCCGCCTGAGGCCCGGCTGCTACGGAGGCACCCGCACCTCCTTCATACGTGGCTGTGGCGCGAAGGTGATGGTGGTCACTTTTGCAGGAGGCTGCTGGTGGTGTTGACTGCTCTCCAACACTGGGAGTCTGCAGCAACTCTGACAGCGCGTTGATGTAGATCTGGGCCATCTGCAGGGTCTCATATTTGGACAGCTTCTTGTCGTTGTTGAAGGACGGGATAACGTTGCGCAGCTGGTCAAAGGCGTGGTTCAGCCCGTGCATCCTGCGCCGCTCCCTGGCATTTGCTGCCAGCCGCCTTTGCTTCTGTACCCCGTTCACCTGTTTGCTGGAAGGGGCCCGCTGGCGGCTGCAGCCAAGCTCGTCCACCACAACCCCGCCCTTCAGCTTGCACAGCTGTTCCCGCACTTTCACCGGCCCTGGGCTCTTGCTGAGGCCGCCGCAGCCGCTCCTTCTTACCAGCTCGCCCTGGCCGTCAGCCTCGTCCCGGGGTGCCGCGGCCTCGGAGGCACCCAGCTCGGGAGAATGCAGCAGATACTGGGCGGCGCGTGCCGTGCAGAGGCCCTGCAAAGTGGGAGTCAGCCAGGCGCGTGGGTCGGTGCTATCCAGGAGGGACAGCTCTGCGGGGTAGACAGGATGGTCTCTGGCCTGCAGGGTAGCAGGTGGCTGTGGCGGCAACTGTGAGAGGTGGTGCGGCTGGGAATGGCGATGGTGGTCCCCCAACTCCTTCACCTCGGCCCACTCTTCTGCATGCAGCAGACGGGACATCGCACTGCAATGGCTCGGAGGTGTCGTGATAGAGTAGGTGCTAGCAACCCAGTTCAACGAAGGGCAAAAGCCCCAAGCAACAGCAAAACCCTTTCTGGTCTCTTCTTCAATGTCTGATTTTTTTTTTCTCCTCTTCCTTGACCCTCCCCCTCTCACTCGGAGATCACACACCAGGTCGCGTGCAACGAAGCTTCTCCGGTTGCTGAAGGCGCTGCGCCCCTTTAAAAAGCGGCACGCGCCAGTGTATCTCCCCCGGCTCCCCTCCCAGCCCCCTCCTTGCGCCAGTCGCGTGTCAGCTCAGTCAAAAAAGGGGGCGGGCAGGCGCGTGCGAGGAGCCAATCAAATAGTTTTTACACCCAGAGAAAAGTTACTTAGTGCCCAGGACTTCAGCTCCTGCTCTGGGTCCACCCCCACCTTCCCTCCTGAAAGAAAGAGAAATTCATATGTTAATTGCGGGGCTGTAATTCGATTCCCCAGGACGTCTACTTCTAGGCGGCTGGTGTGCGGGACTTGGGGGTGGAGCGGGCTCCCGGCTGGTGCCAAGGCCGCCCAGGCTCAGAAGTGTGCTGGGAGACGCTGCTCGCACCAATCTGGAGGCCAGATCCTCCAAGGTACCAACAACCCAGAGAAGCCCGCTTGTCCTGAGATCCCTCCAAGCCAGGCTCACAGCTCTCATGAAACTCGTAAAATCGCTCATATGCAATATGATAGAAATAAGTACACATAGGTGTGCATAAAGCTCTTACCTGCTGTACATTTTGTCTGTGGAATTGTTAAGTGGAATCTCAATGAAAATCAGAACAAGGTGAAACCTCTTCGCGTCTGGGAATATATTTCTTAATTTTGCCACGTCTGAGGCTCTTGGAATAGATCGTACTTGAACTCGTTATGGAATCTTTTTAAAATTTTTAATGGAAAGTAAAATTGAAGTATAGTTATGACATAACAAAACCGGGATTGCCCTAAAATGTTGGAGAGACTTCCTCAGAGCCTTGCGGCCAGTTAGGGTCTCAATCTACAAAAAACCCTGCTAGAGGATACTATGCTAGGACTGAGGTATCTCAAGGATCCTACGAAACACTTTGAACACTCACAGAGTAGGATTTATAATTGCAGAGCCACAGGAGGCTGCTGGAATTAGTGCAAAAGGTCCTTGAGTTCCTTGTCATTCTGGGCGTTTTGAAACTGTTGCCTCTGGAGGCCCCGGTTTACTAGTGCGCGTGGCTTCTTGCGCAAACGCCCAGAAACCACAATCTAACCCACCTGTCCGGCTCTGTTTAGTTAGGGTGTGCACTCCTTCTATAAAACGAGCCCCTCCCACCGCATTAGCCCCCAGCCTTGTGTTCCACCACAAAGAACCAATCAGAAACTCCCGGGCCCGAGACACGCCCCAACTTGCGCTGACTGCTCTCCAGCTCCCGGCTCTCTTCTGCTTCGCCCCTGGGGCACCCGAGTGGGTGGCAACTGTGGCGGGTGCTTTCGATTTTCAAGGCACTTGCTATCCTGGGAGGACTTTCGTCTTCTGGCAGATGGTACCTCAGAAAGCTCCCTGAAACCTGTCTTTGCAGGGTCCAGTGCCATTGAAATGTTCCGCTAGCAGGGACTTGATCCAACCTGCCATCTGGAGCTCCTTGTGCGAAGGATTTCAGAGGTTAGAGAAAACTAGTGTGCTTATCTCAAGGAGATAGAGAAAGATGGAAGAGAATTCAAAAGTGTGCGTGATACGTCGGTCTTCATCAGCTTCAGACTCTTTTTCAAGCTTACCCGTTTGCTGGTGTGTAAGAAACATTCCTGGACCTTGAGACGTTGACAATCAGAAAGATCACAGGAACATTTTTCTTAAAGAGTTTAAGCTCCGCTGAAATAAGTAGATTAACGATAGAAATACCTTAAATCTAAAATCCGGAATTATCTCAAACCTAAAAGAAAACGATCAGTGACAATAAAGGAAAAGAAGAGGTAATTTCTTTTTCTCTAGAGGGTAGAAAGACCATGGTCCGGTACTGTTGAAGACAACAATGATGCTCTTACTGCACCTAGCGTTAGTATCTGTCATTTGTAATCTCAAAAAGAAGAGTTTCTAGTGACTGGGGAGTCCAACGTCATCATCTGTATGTGAAAGGCAGAGCGAGCACTAGGGCGGGGAAGGAGTCACCTAGGGGCTTTGTTCCTCTTTTGGTGACTTCCCTGTCAGCTGAAAGGCAGCAGTTTTTCACAGGAAGGCACCACTAAATGTGCGAGCGCTCAAGTTTTCCGTGGGCTTCCAACCTCCAGACGTTTTATTTACAGTTCAAATTTGACCACAAAACTTCAAAAGCCTCCTTTTCCTTCATGCTTAGGCGGATTTAAGGACTATAGATGAATATTTGTGCGACACTTTTTGTACTATTGGTCCTGATCTATAAAATTTATGTAACACTAGTATAATCTCTTTGTAAAGAGCAAATCTCATTTTGTGTGTGTGAGCAAAAATAGGTTATTTTAGGATTTCAAGGGAGTGTATGTACACTTCTGTAATTTGTGGTTGGATATTCTTTGACCCTTAACTGTGGCGCTGTCTCTTTTCCCTTTCCCCTTCTCTTCCATTAGAGGAAGAAGCAAGGCAGGACTGTGTATGCTAAGTGTGAGCAGATTATCCCTGGGGAAGACTGTGGAATGGGGGTGTCAAACCATGGAGTGGGGTGAATATTCATGAGTAATGGATGGTGGAGTTGCAGCTCAGTTTGAGGCCTTCTCTGTGTGCGGACACTAGACTAGTTACTGAAAGGTAGATGGAAAAACAAATATTTGAGAAAAATGTCAGAGACTAGTTATAAACATGGAAATTGAGGAAGCTGTTGCATTGAGTTAAAACTTGAGACTTTCATTTGACTTTATAGTTTTGAATACACATGAATAAATAACACATAAGGAAATATAGATAAAATGTGATGTGACTATACCTAAATGTGTTTCTATGTATAGTCTTTTCTCTCTCAGAGCTTAACATCAGTCATGAACATGTCCAGTCAGACTTGAAGTTGTCAAACAGGAGCCAGGATTCTTGGGAGACTAAGCTTCCAGGGATAAGACAGGAAGCACTCTCTCTCTCTCTCTCTCTCTCTCTCTCTCTCTCTCACACACACACACACACACACACACACACATGTGCACACACACAAGGAAGTGTTCAGAGAATGATGGGCACATGACAAAAGGTCACAGACACCTGCTTGAAACAGCTTCCAACAACATACATAATAATTTCTGTATCAAAATAAGGAAGAATAAAGACAAATTACTTAACCATTTGCAAAATGTGGTCCATAAATGGTAATGTGAACAGAGTAAATGAGCTCATTGATTGTTTAATAAGTACTACGTGCAAAGTATATTTTAATTTCAAAAGAAAAAAGGTTGACTCTATCACCGAGGACTTTAATATCACCTTAATTACCCAAATGAAGTTCACATTGCTGCAATGATAAGACAAGAACTCTTGTGGAATTTGTTGTGACGCAGAGGCAGCTTCACTTCTATGATGATGTTATTCAAAATGCTTATCCTAGATCCAACAGAGAGAAAGCATTATTTCAACCCTAACAGAGATGCACTGTAGCAAAGAGCAAGACCATAGCCATAAAAAGTGTCAAGATCACAAAATAAAATCTCAGTAACCAATCCTGGCTAGCAGAGGGTGAAGGAACACAATAACATAGTGGAGGCCTGATTCCCAGCTGGACCTTCCTACATTAGGCCACACTACTGGAAACTTACACAGCTTATTATATATATCACTTCGTTTCGCAGTTTTGATGGCTCCATTGTGGCTACATGATGGGGAAGCTTTGTTAGCCACTTATCTTCAAGAGGTAGGACCAAGTTAGGGTGTGGTTTTCTGAGATCCTGAGAGAAAAATGGGTGCTAGGCCCAGATGCGCTCTCTCTGTGGTTCTCTCGCGACACAGCTGAGCTTGGACCCCTCCTTCCTGTTTTGTGAATTACTGCCCTTATAATAAATAAAAATATAGTTGTTTATCTTTTAGCTAGCCTGATTATTTCCCGAATTGAGCTAACTTCTACATCTACATAAGAGAATAACCTCCCTTTAATGGAATGTTTGGGCCACATTGATCCAATTTGCTCATCTGCACCAAATATCTTCTCTACTTAAAATCATTACATATGTACAGTATACTCTTTCTTACCTGTTTGTTCCCCTCCTAACTACCTCGACTCAGCTTTCAAAGAAACAGTCCCTAAGTACTGTAGAAATATCCTCTTGCTGTGTACTCCTAGATACAATGTATTAATTTAGTATTGATAGTCATTATCAAATAATTAATAGAGCAACTGCTTAGTATTTATCGCTTCCATCTCCCTCCATTCTGGCTTGTGAGATATGCTGTTTTGGGGTCCACTGTGGGAGGATTGTCAGGGAAGCTGGTTGCCTTTCCCTAGGTGAGTAATCTTTCCTGCTTACTTAGTGCATGGGAAGATGCTCTGGAAGATAGTCAGAAGAGACAAAGTCACAAACATCACACTGACTCCTACAGGTCCTTCTATGTAACTTCTTTGTATCACCTTGTCTCTGCTCCTTCAGTGGAGCTTCTTAGAAGTCCCTGCCAGGTCAGGTACTCCCAAGAAATCTTCACACTCCCTCAGGCCACTTCTCTCTTTCCATGAAGCTCAGACCAAAGTGAATCATGCCACATACCCCCTTAACCTTCCGTTACCCAGCATCCTTTGAGCCAGACTGTAGTTCACAAGAGGACCCTGCCACCTCACAAATATACCACGTCATATAATTCCCACAGCATGCCTGAGCATTTTCTTCTGTCTCTCCTCTGCTAGACAGCTAAAGATGAGGCACTGATGTGACAAAGTAGTGTAAGGGGCTGGGCATCTGCCTATGTAGCTTCCTCATGTTTCTGAATTTACTCATTTAGATCTAGAATGTACCATTTCTATAATCTACCACATTGTTCCTGTGCTCTTTCCTAAAACTCGTGACTTGATATGCCATCCATATCAGGGTAAGGCGTTCTTGTTGCTTAATGACATCTGGCAACTCAGTCTACTCTTAAGTTCACTACCTCACCAGGATCCACTTTGGGGATGATGAACAACTGTCTGATGTAGATGGCATGACTTTGATCCAAGACCTTACAGGTCTTTGCTGTTATTTACAAGAGTGCGTTAAAAAAAACCCCATAGAT